CGTTGTTTTCTATTCGATCAGTAATCTTTGAACCATCACAGCAGCCCACCTCTGACTTCAGCAGTGTCAAGCTTCCGAACACAGCAACCCAAACATCCCATCCGAAACGCCTTGCTGATGTCACAGAACATTGTTGCGCATGAGGTTTTAATCCAAGTATATTAGAAGGGTTTGATTCTCTCAAATGTACAAATGACTGGGGTAGTAGTAAGCAGTATGGATCTGTTTGGTATTTCCCTTCGTGATTTTGCATTGAAACTTAGTAAATATTGAATTTGCGTAGAAGAAGTTAAAAACATGCTTGTCAATACATTTCTGTAGTAATGTAACTACACTTGCTACATAATGATTTGTCATTTAACACGTCTACATTGTTTTCAGTAGGAGTTTTAAAGAGAAAAAATAGAAGATGCTGTGCATATAATAATAAGGAAAGAGTTGTAGCAATTTGGTTTGTAGACGCAATAATTACAGTATTTACCCGACCATAATGAAAAAATTCAGTAATATTTGGACAATTGATTCGTTAGTTGGCTTAGTCGCATTTAGCTAGTAGAGGTTCAGTTTTTATCCAATCTCGATGAAACTTAGTATACAAAGTTTTATATGAACTATATAAAATAGTTTGGAACCAAAGACATTCCTATCCAGTTGAAAATATTATTTTGAATATTTGTCATATGATAGAAAATATAAAATTCTGACATCACTGTGGTCGGAAAATTGAAAAACAAACTAGAAACAAACATTATTTAAGGATAGCAACCTAGTTCATGAGCGCCATTTTCCCTGTATGAATCCAAAAGTGGTAGTGATACAGACCTAACCTGTACGTGGTTCGACCCGTTACGCGGTACGATCCTCGACGTGTTCGATACCGGACCGGCAACAAAGTTCCGATACCTTCTTGGTGTTTGCTGTTCTTACGCACCAAGTGTTACTAAGCAACAGTCAAGTTTTGGCACCAATATGATCGTGGTTTGCCAAATCATCATGGTCATAATTTCACAAATATCAGAAATACAGAGAAACGTAAATTTGATCGACATTGTATTTTTCAGAATGTTAAGAGTGAAGTTGTTCCTAGGAATTATTTATAGATACAAGCTCTGTCTTGACAATTTATATCTGTTGTAATGTTTTTTTATATTCAATCACTTTTTAAACTTTTGCTTCACCTTTGGGTTTTTTTCTGAAAAATTTCTATGAATCGCTTCTGGACCGGTCTGGAAACAATACCGGACCATATGATCCAGGACCTTGCCAGTACCGGACTACTATAAGTAATATTGGATCATTCCCAAAAAGATGGTAGGCTGCATAAACTTAATCTCAATCAACACCGAAAGTAATGTTCAGGGCCATGAAAAAGAAAATCTATCCATTAAAGTAATTATTTTTCAGCATGCTTAATTATTTATGAAATATCTTGATATATATATATAAATATAACATACCACCGTGCTTTACTGCTGTAACTTTCAAATCAGTACCAGAACCACCACCAGCTGTTTGTGTTTTAGCTTCAATCAATATCTTCACTGTTTGAAAGATTATCAGTATTTACCTTCATTCAGCGCTCCTTTTTTCAAATATGAACTGGGTTAAACTTCTTAAAATTACGTAAACATAAAATCTGTCAAACATGACAAAAAAAAAATATGCGCCTAATCTATTTTAATCCCGTCACGAACTTTTTGCACTCCCCACCCCACAAGAAGTGAATTAAATGGATTTTTGCGTCTTGTTCTTGGTGGAAGGAATTTTTTCAGGACTGTGGCATCAGCCTAGTCTTTTCGATTTTCAACTGTCGAGGGACCTTTAACGTACACAGCCTGTAGCACAAAGGGGCCTCAGTTTATTGTCCCATTCGAATGACCATGTGAACACCTCCGATCTAAATCATTGAGAGAGAAAAACGAGTTGCCACCCCCGTAAGAGGCTTGGTTTAAACAGAATTCCTTTTCTAACACGGGAACAAATGACGTTCTGAAGCGTTTCTTTTTTATAACCTTTTTTAAAAAGTTTAAAGTGACACTACGTCTTAGGATGAACATAAAATTTAATTCTCAAGAATGGTCAATAAGAGTATATATTGATCGGTGAACTTACCTGGTGTCATAAAGTTACAACAGAACCATTGTAAAATCTAGAAAATTGGAAAATTCACAAAACTAAGTAATTATTGAAAAACGCTTAATCATAATATTAAACGTTTTTCAATAGTTAATTGCATTTTTATTTAGTTTTTTGGATTTATCGGATTATATAAGGATTCTGTTATGTTATTTATGACACCAAGTATATCTACTGATGAATATATAGTCTTATTGGCCAAGTTTAAATTTTTCAAATTTTATGTTTATTCTAAGACGTGGTATCCCTTTAAAAGCTTGTTATAGCTGATATCAACTGTATACATTTACATAATACATACACCGTACATACAATTCTGTTAACAAAAATATATACAAATAGTAAGGAGAGATAGCCTTGAGTCATTTCTTGGCATCTATTTAAAAATGTTATAATTTATGGATAATACACCCGTGCACCAAACCCAATTTGAGTCAACATAGAAGTGGGGTAAAAAAGGAGAAAGAATATATTTATGTTATTGTTAAGTCGATATTTCAAAGATTTTAAACAATTAATTAATGATTTACTAATTTTTTTTGATAGATGATATTAATATGACACTCCTATTTTCCGTTTGTTAGTTAAAAATATAGTCTGAAATATTTCTATACTTCATCTATTCATCTTTAATAAAAAGGTGCAGTTATGGGGGAAGTTGTTTTGATGAAGTAGAGTGTCGTGTCGTGAGCAAACACGAAAAGCCTAATCTCACACGAGTGGAACGTGAAGCGTTAAACTTACTTAAGAAAGACGATAGCATTGTTATTAAAAAGAGTGACAAAGGTTCATGTTGTGTCATTCTGAATAGGGAGGATTATGTTTCAGAAGCAGAGAATCAACTGAATAATCCTAAACATTATGCCATTTTACCGAAACCAATTTTCAAAGAAACTGCTAACATGATTAACAATATTCTTGCCGATTTAGTCAAAACTAGTTATCTCAAACAGAAACAATATGACTATCTGTCTGCCAAACCTGATTGTCGCGAGAGACATTTGTACACTTTGCCTAAAATCCATAAGAATCCAACCAAGGAGTGGTTTATCTCGAAAAAATCCCTAAAGGCCGCCCGATTATATCTGACTGTGGTAGTGAGTCATATGCAGTGTCAGAATACATTGATCATTTCTTACTACCTCTAGCATGTCAACATCGCGCCTACCTTAAAGACACAACCGATTTTGTCAATAAAATAAAAAATCTTCGAGTTCCCTCTAATGCTATTTTAATTTCTATCGACGTTTCTTCTATGTATAATAATATCGATAACACTACTGGTTTAACGGCAGTTCGTAAAGCTTTTAATAGAAACCCAGATCCAAACAGACTCGATGATGCAATTCTACAGCTTTTAGAGATTTGTCTTAGTCGAAACGATTTCACATTTAATGGTAAAACATATTTACAAACTTCAGGGACAGCAATGGGCAAACGATTCGCCCCTTCGTAAACCTTTTCATGGCAGAGTGGGAACGTGAGGTGTTGCCCCTCTGTCCATTTGACCCACTTTTTTACGGACGCTTTTTGGATGACATTTTTATGGTTTGGACTTATACTATCGAACAGTTTTGGGAATTCTTTGAAATTCTCAACAACCACCATCCTTCTATCAAACTAACCGCAAACGTGAGTGACAAAAGCATAGACTTTCTCGATACCACAGTCTTTAAGGGAGATTCCATAGCAGAAACAAATAAACTGGATATTAAAGTGTATTTCAAAGAAATTGATACTCATCAACTCTTGCACAAGAGCTCCTTTCACCCAAAACATACCTTTTCTGGTATAATTAAGTCACAAGTTTTACGATTTCATCGAATTTGTACAAGATCTTCTGATTTCAACCAAGCCTGTACGATTGTTTTCTCAAAACTGAAAGAGCGTGGGTACTCTAAACGATTTTTACGAAACATAAAAAATTCCACCTTAGCACAGATAGCAGCTAAAAACTGACTTTATGCCGAAGTACCTCCAGGTTTAAGAAGTGCTCCATGTTTGTCCAGTAGATGCAAAACATGTCCCTTTATATCAGAAACTCATTATTTTGTAAGCAACTCTACGAATAAAAGGTACCCGATCCAGGAACATCTAACATGTGAACATTCGAATGTAATATATTTAATTTCATGCAAGAAATGCCCCAAACAATATGTAGGAGAAACTAAGAATAATTTACGAACTCGCTTTAATGCTCATAGGTCAGACATCAAATTAAAGAAAGACAAGCCTGTTTCTAATCATTTCAACCTCGACCATTCAATAAACGATCTCGCCCTAATCCCAATTGAGCGTATAGAAATTGACTTGCCCGAAGATGAAACTACCAAATTCCGTCAATCTAGGGAAGCCCATTGGATTGAGACATTGAATACAGCAAGACCTATAGGACTAAATATTCATCATAATGTAGGCATAGCACCCTTTGTTGTCCCGTTTAATACAACCAGCAATCGAGCAAGCAAGATAGTTCATGCCCACTATAAGAGCCTTCAAGAGAAATTCCCCCATGTCTATAAGCAGAAAATGATAGTTGCATATTCAAAAAATAAGAACTTAAATGATAATATTGTTCATAGTAAACTAAAAACAATCAGTACATAACAGATACTATACTTCTCGCCCATGGGGCGAGTTATTTTTTCTAATTTCAGATCAGAATAAGAACAGAAGAAAACCCAATATCAAGACCCTTAATCCTAATTTCTAAATAAAGTGTCTGCTCCACCCTAGGCCTGTACATTTGGGAGAATCAAACCCTCCCTTCCCCGAAATCTAATTAGATTGTTGCGTTCTAGTCTAATAATTACTAATGTATTCGAAAGATTACTTTTTGAAACATGATTCAATGTTTTGCTTTGTTTTTTTTTTTACTGAACTAAAATTTTGTCAATATCAAGGTCGTTTTGTAATACATCAAGGTCCGTATTATTGTAACCCCAAACTTGAAATATCTAATCATTTCAACTCGGACGCCCATTTGTGAGACGATCTTGTCTGTGACGCCCAAACTATATTTGTCTATGATTTCTTTTGTCGAGGATGCACAGTGACAAAGAGGGACTGGATGATAGAGGCTACAGACGATCTAATCTCATTTACATACTTACTAAAACATGAACCAATGTGAAGAAAACGTGAAACAACAAGGAATATAGCAAAGAAACGACCTGGACAAGACCTCAAACTTTTTCGCGAAGAATTAGAAGGTGATTTTAGTCTTGAATATGTGTTAATTAAATCAAAATCCGTCAAGAATTGCGCCTTCTAGAGTGTTTACGAGCGCTTCAAGAACAAGGGCAATAACTCGTACTAAATATTTTTCCATTTTTCTGATTTTCAATAGGGCTCATCCTTGGGTGATTACAACCAACCATACCAAGTTTTGTCGAAATCAGTCAAGAATTGTGCCTTGTAGAGTGTTTACGAGCAATTATGGATGGACCAACGGAGGGACATGGTAGACTGCAATATACACCCCCCCTCCCCATTTCATGTTGGCATATAAAAATGAAAGAAATAGCTTTTCAGGCATAATCTGAATTACTCTTGAAATACAATCTCCAAAAATATAAATAATACCAAAGTATCATTTAAAAAACAAAATCATACCAAGTCTAAATATTTTTGAGCAAATCAAATTCTAGCAATTTGTTACGAAATCACAAATCATGGCTGATATTTGGAGTAGTCTATTTTTGTCCGAAAAAAACGGAAATCTTAAGTCTATTTCTTCTTTCCCTTCTTTTTATTACTAGAAGCTGTTGCTGGATCAATACCCTGAGCTAATGACAGTTTTTTCTTCAAATCTAATAACAAGGCCACCTCTTTGTCAATTTTACTCTTTTCAGCTTTCTGTGTCTTTAACTCTCTTACGACCTCTCCCTGAAAACATAAGGATTTCAAATTTTCAGTTAAATTTTGCAAAATTCGTCCTTCCAGTTCATCTAGCTGGGATACCAATAATCTAGGAAAGATTAATTGGTAGAAGGTTACTCATGAACCCATATTATTATCTTTGTAAAAAAATGGTTCTAAAAGAAACTAACATGATGTCTTTAAATGGATATAATTGTCTAATTATTTCCCTGAGCTGACTAAGCACATTTTCTATGCATGTCACTTAAACGGGCATTCCACTTTTTTGTACAAAGTTTTCATCATCAACAATGTCTGAAAATATTTCTTAAGTAGGCTATTTATATGATTTATCTTCTTGATCAAACTGAATTTGTTTTAAAAGGGTTAATTAAGATAGTGGACCACAGTCATATACGCCCACCACAGCATGCAGATGGTAAATATTCAAGATTTTGGGGCAAGGGCAATAACTCTGCTTCTAACGGTCGAAAATAGCTCAAATTCGAACTTGATCTTCGTTTTATGAATATGTATACACATACCCAATTGCATTTGATTCCATCAAAAAATCTAGTTTTTAGAACGTTTACAAGCAAATGTTGACAGAGTGCCATGCCGACAATAGATATCCACTTAGAGAGGTGTGGGCGTATAAAAAACAGAGAGTACTAATTGTTAATTTAGCGGTTTAACCTAGTTTTGATGTTTGGCTTTATAATGGCTTGAAATTATTAGTTGAAACCTTTAGAATAAGTAGGAGACATATTTCTCTACAATTACGCATCTATGTTACTCAAAACAATACGGTAATTTTCTAACAGCTTCCAAAAAGCATAACAGACTTTAAAAGTTTAAATAATCTTACATGATGTTTTTAAATATATTCGTTAAAATAACCTTTGACCTAATCTGCTTTAGCCAATTAAATTCCTTCACTCTCCCATCAAAATGCCAGCACTGGAGAGGGCAGAAATTTGTTAGTTAAAGCTGGGTTAGGTCAAAAGATTATTTTGACAAATGTTTAAGAGGCCAGTCTTTAGACCCTAACTGAAGTGGCTATATTAAAAATAAAAACTAATAAAAACGGAAGACTTCTGAATGACTTGAAGCTTTTTCCATGTCAACCCCTCCAAACCGCATCACTAACAGGGGTAAACCGGGTTGCAACATATGTTTCTTTCTAGTTTAAACAAGTTTTACCTGTTTTGTAACTTGATCTGTTATACTTGCTATTTCACTATCTGATGCTTTAGGTAAGACTGAATTAGCTGGTGCACTTTTAACTTCTGGTTTAGCTGGTACAGACTGCAAAAATATTATTTCCTTAAAATCATTTGGTATAATTAAATTTCACTTTAATAGATTCATGGGAATCTGAGTATTTCTTTTAACACATTTAAAATTTCTGAGAGAAAATCATTTTTACCCACCTTTTCCTGTTTTCCTTGGAATTTTTTCTTCATTTCCTCAATAAGTGAGGCCTCTATTTTCTGGAATAACGGACTCGGCTGAAAGACAAAAAAAAAAAACACAATGATGCAAGTTTACCACATTATTAGTATAACTAAACCAACTGTTACCATCATACTACCAACTACCATGATAACCAATCACTATCTGATATCCCTGTACTATAACTCGATATTTATGAAAGTAATTGCTATCATTGAAATGTTACCAAATCACAGTAATTCTTTTCAAAGAAATTGATACCAATGAAACTTCATATATAACATTTGTAAACAATTTTACTATCAGGATATTTATGAAAGCAATATGAATATCCGGATTAACATCTGTGAAATTAGTTAATATCAGTAAAATTAGCTTTCAAGTTATATTATAACTCTGCATGGAACATCCTGCCAGTCCAAAGCCCAGATAAGGGGAAAGGGGAGAAGATCAGGATCATCCAGTCATATGCTCTAACATGACAGTGAAGGAAAAGCAAAAGATTCTTTTATGACAATTTCAATAATGAAAAGAACAATACTGCCTGGTTACTCCTTTCTATATACAAGAGGATATAAATCTCAATTAAACTTACCTTTTGACTGTATACAAGGGGATATAAATCTCAATGAAACTTACCTTTTGACTGTATACAAGGGGATATAAATCTCAATTAAACTTACCTTTTGACTGTATACAAGGGGATATAAATCTCAATGAAACTTACCTTTTGACTGTATACAAGGGGATATAAATCTCAATTAAACTTACCTTTCGACTGTATACAAGGGGATATAAATCTCAGTTAAACTTACCTTTTGACTGTATACAAGGGGATATAATCTCAATTAAACTTACCTTTCCACTGTATACAAGGGGATATAAATCTCAATTAAACTTACCTTTCCACTGTATACAAGGGGATATAAATCTCAATTAAACTTACCTTTCCACTGTATACAAGGGGATATAAATCTCAATTAAACTTACCTTTTGACTGTATACAAGGGGATATAAATCTCAATTAAACTTACCTTTTGACTGTATACAAGGGGATATAAATCTCAATCAAACTTACCTTTCAGTATACAAGGGGCCATAAATCTCAATTATACTTACCTTTTTGTATACAAGGGGAAATAAATCTCAATTAAACTTACTTTTCCAATCTTGTGGCCAGTTTTCAACACTGGTATAAACTGGGTTGGTATCACCATATTTTTAGGGTTACCATTTAATTGTGTACAGATGATTTCACTAGTTGAAGGCATATAGGGTTGTAACAGTACTCCAATCAACCATGCAATATTAGCAGCTAAACTTACAACTGATCCTGCTCTTGCTCTGAAATAAGAAGTCAAGATGTAGTTTATAAGACAGAAGTCTGAGGTCTGAATAAGTTTGGAATGCATAACATTTAATTTGCAATTTCAAAAACAATTTTAAAGGTAAATTACCTCTTAGAAAGACCAAAATATTGAAATTTTTCAACTTGGCTAAAATGAATGGACTTTACATGGTGTCATAACTATACAACAGAAAACTAAGTAATAATTCATAAAACTATGAAATAATTCATTAAACTAAATTTTGAAACATTCTTAGAAACTTATTTAATTTAAATTTCATGTCCATTCTAATAACTTACTTTTCATCTGGTGTTCTTTTTACCAAAACCCATGGTTTATTAGCTTGCATCATCTGATTTCCTAATCTCGATATACTTAATATATTTCTTATTGAATCACGTAATCTAAAAAATATATTTTAATATTAGGTTTGAAGATTTCCATGCATGTTTTTGTGGTTTGATTGAGTGGTAAAATTGGATGTTAGTTAAAAGAAAAGTGACTTGTGTTGCTGGAACAAAATCTTAAGCAACAAATTAAATTAAATTACAATTTTGTCAGTCTCCATTGTAATCTTAAAATATTTTTTACCAGGGATAGTACTGTTGACCGTAATTTCATCCAATCACAGAACATCATGCAGAATCCTTGTCTACATATCATTATGAATTGTGGGATAGCAAAACCAAAAGTAGAGCAATATGACCAATGAGATTATGAGACTGCCACTACTTGCTACTCGTAAAGATGATTCTGATTGGCGGGAGAGTGACGTGTGATTGTCTGCTAAAAATTGCTTAACCCTTTCAACCAGAGCAGCCGGTATATTGTTACTAAGTGACGTCAACGTAATCATTATACGCTTTTACTATTATCATTTGGAGTTCTGAATATAGGTAGTTATATTTCATTTACACTCAGGGTTCAAAGGCTTAAAACGTCAGCAGTATTTGGTATAAATCTTGTTAGATTACAATGGAGACAGACAAAAAAAATACAATATGTAACAAATTTGCATTCTAATTTCAATTAGATTGTAATACAAGCTACTTTGAGCTGCAGGCGTAATCATGGACTCCAGACTGTTATCATTACTATCACTCAATTCAAATTACCATTATGATTTCAATAAATAAATTGTAAAAATAAAATCAAAATCATACTTTGCCTGTTCCATATTCTGTATATATATAGTTAATTCTCTATTAATTAAAGCCACTGTCTGTAAGTCTTCTGATGTTAAGTTTATGTCTTGTATCGTGCCATTAAAACTGCTACTTACAAACGCCAGTCCTCTGAAACATTGAAGAGTGAAGAAGCATTAAAGAATCTGCTCTTATCAAAGATGGTTGAAATGAATTGGATTTCGTTATACCACATTTCTGTGTTTTAGTTGGTATGTGAAGTGGGTTTTTCTAATAAGTGTGCAATAAGGACATGAAGCACATACAGATTTTTCATTGTAAACTGTTGAGGGATCCTGAAGTGCAAAACCTGTATGACACATTGACTTCAGTTTTCATGAGTTAATCATTTATCCCACAGTATAGCACAAAAAAATTTCATAATTGCAACTTCAATATAATCCTTACCGGTTGATAAAATTTCCTAAATTATTTAACAGTTCACTATTATTCTTCAACAAAAAATCATCCCAACTAAATGCAGTGTCCTACAAATAACAATAACAGCATGAAATCAGTCAGCAAATACAAATACACAGCCACATTTTATTCACACATTGAGTTTTCTATGAAATGAAAGAATATCTGTAATGTATTGAAAATTCATTACTAAACAAAAAGTTGATGTCTAACCTGGGATTCTGGTCTAACAAACAGAAGATAAAATCTAAAGACATCAGCTGGTATTCCTGTATCTTTAGCATTATTACCAAAAACACCCACACCTCGACTTTTAGAGAACTTTGTATCTTCATAATTTAAATATTCTACAAAATATAAATACAGAAATATTAAAACAGAAACTCAAATCTCAGAGTTTCACACAATAGGCAATAGAATAGACAATGTAAATACATGTACATACAAAAAACTTAATTTGTAACATGAATGATATTGAAGTTCCCTTTGATCTTTCCTTGTATAAATGAGTGGGTGGTGCTTAGCTGTGGTATAACTAGTAGACTGTAAATGTATGGAGAGAAGGGAATGATTTAAGTTCTTGCACAGATCATCATTTCGTGACTCTGTGACAACTGTAAATTAGTGTTGGGCATCACCGTAACTTTAGTTCTGTTAATATTTCGTGACTCCGTGACAACTGTACATTAGTGTTGGGCATCACCGCAAATATCGTTTTGTTGATAGCATGTGAGTCTGTGACCTTTCACCTTTGGCTGAATATGCATTCTGACTGTTCCCGACTATTTGTAAGTATATCAGAAACACAAACCTGTAGCCGACATATGTTTAACCAATGTAAAGTTATCATTAGCTCCTAGTAATGTACAGGGGAATATAACACTATGGAATGGTACATTATCTTTACCCAGAAAATTAAACAACTCAACCTATAAATATATAACACAATTTTTATTTTACAATAGGACTGACATGCAATGTGTAGTGAGAGAAGCTTTTTTTTTAAATATATTTTGCCTTGAAATCATGCAAAAAGTGTATATACAGGGCCTTAGATTTATAACACAGGTCTTTGGATTAACACTTAAAGATGAGTTCCCTTATTTTCAATCATGAAAATGAAAATTCTAATACTGATATGAATAGAAAGTAGAGGTGTTGTAATGACTTGGTAAAACACCAGTTTGTCTCACATAATTAATTCATAATTAACTAAATTAGAAGAGAATTACCAGCAGAATTCCAATGAGTGACCAATTAGGAAAATTCAAAAATAATTTTTTGTTTATTCAGACTGTACATACATGGACGTTTATGATTAGTTAAAACTCTTATTTATATGCAATAAGGACAAAATCATATGATTAAGAATACATAATTCATTAGAAACATCAATAAATCAAATAGTTTGCTTAATTTGACACTAAAAAATAAGGAAACCCATCTTTAATAGAAAATAAAAATCAATTGAAACATGAATCAGTAAGATTAATTACCTCGTTCGGATTTTTCCACCATTTCTCCCAATCTTTAGTATATGTAGCAGTTATCGAGATATAGCCAATAGGTGCATCAAACCACACATAAAATACCTACAAAATCATGTAAGAACTTTTGTTGTGTAATAGGGACTGGGTTTACCAAATTTGTTGTGCTTTTTTGAGAATTCAAATAACAATGATGTTTAAAGGGACATGTTCACCATCCAATCATATTTAACTTTAAGAAACGGGAATCTTATTTTAGATAAACTAATCAGTAGTAATGTTCACAATGGTCAAAATTTGTGTCCAGAATTATCGGAGTATGTTTGAGGGAATTAGGTGATTTTTGAACCATGGTATTTTTATATCATTACATAAATATTATATATTATATTTCATAACCAGACGACCAAACATGGCTGAATGGAGTTTTAATGTCTATACTATACCTTATCAGTATAACCTTCTAATGGTACTGGAATACCCCATTTTAAATCTCTGGTAATACATCTTGGTTTTAATCCATCTCGAATCCATGAATTAGTTATAACTTTAGAGTTGTGCGTCCATAAACCATTGTCGAAAGCTTTGTCTAAATGTTGTCGTAATTCAGGTTCTAACTGTAAAAAAAGTAGAGTGGAATTATGAACTAAGTTTTAAAAAAGTTCAAGAAAATTTTTAACTAATACTTATACTACTTCCATATACACAGGCTCGTATCAAAAGAAACACCATGAGCTGTATGAGAAACATTTGTAGTCTTTTGTATTTGAAGCTGAGCTTTATCCCCGTAGCAATCATTAAATTGATCATGTCCCAAGATGAAGTGATACAAGAAGGTTTTATCAAAATTTTTAATCTAATAAAAAAAAAACAGTTTGGAGAAAAGAAATTTTAAAATATCAAGTTACCTTGGGTAAATCTAAAAATAAATGTTGAGTTGTTTTTACTGTTGGGGTGCTTGTACAAGATTTACATTTAGGGTTGATTAATTCTACAGCATTAATTAATTTACCACAGCCATCACATTGATCACCTCTAGCATCATCATAGCTACACATAGGACATATACCACTGACAAACCTATCAGCTAAAAACCTAGAATACAATAGACATCACTTTAAATATAGAACTTATACCACTGACAAACCTACCAGCTAAAAACCTGGAATACAACAGACATCACTTTAAATATAGAACTTATACCACTCACAAATCTATCAGCTTAAAACCTGGAACACAATAGACATCACTTTAAATATAGAACAAATACCACACACAAACCTATCAGCTAAAAACCTGGAATACAACAGACATCACTTTAAATATAGAACTTATACCACTCACAAACTTATCAGCTAGAAACCTGGAATACAACAGACATCACTTTAAATATAGAACTTATACCACTCACAAACCTATCAGCTAGAAACCTGGAATACAACAGACATCACTTTAAATATATAACTTATACCAATCACAAATCTAACAAGTGGTTGCCTTGCAAGATATGCCCACTTTCCTGATATATTTTCAGTATATCAAGGGCGGTCACCTATCTGTGTCAAATCATACCAAAAATCTAATTTTTGATATTGTTGATTTAAACAAAAACACATTATTTAATAAAATTCTGACATAAACTGTCACCTCTATCCCAAACAAATTTTGATGCGTTTTTACTAAGTCATGGGCAATAACTCAAATTCCATTGATCGAAAAAATTGTCAAATTTAATCTTGACTACGATCTCATTATTATAAATGATCATATCAAATTTCATTTAAATCGGATGAAAACTCTCTATTGTGTTCACAAAGTAATTTTAACGCATTTTTCATAAATCAAGGGCAATTACTCAAAAACCATTCATCAAAAGATAGCCAAATTCAAACTTGTCCAAGATCTCATCATTATAAATATCAACACCAAATTTCATTTAAATTGGATGAAAATTGTAGTCTTTATTGTGTTCACAAACTAATTTTGACCCGTTTTTCATAAGTCAAGGGCAATAACTAAAATCCCTTCATCGAAAGATAGCCAAATTCGAACTTGTCCAAGATCTCATCATCATAAATATTTACACCAAATTTTATTGAAATTGGATGAAAACTGTAGTCTCTATTGTGTTCACAACCAAATTTTGACGCGTTTTTCAAGTCAAGTCAAGGGCAATAACTAAAAAACCGTTCATTGAAAGACAGCCAAATTCAAACTTGTCCAAGATTTCATCACTATATATATTTACACCAAATTTCATTTAAATTGGATGAAAACTGTAGTCTCTATTATGTTCACAACCAAATTTTGACGCGTTTTTCATAAGTCAAGGGCAATAACTTAAAAAAACTTCATTGAAAGATCGTCAAATTCCAAGTTGTCCAAGATCTCATAAATATAAATGATCTCACCAAATTTCATTCAAATCAGATCAAAACTGTTGTCTCTATTGCGTTCACAAGCCAATTGTGGACAGACGGACATTATAATGTGGGCGTATAAAAACCTGGAATACAACAGACATCATTTTGAATATAGAACATATGCCACTCACAAACTTATCAGCTAAAAACAGACATCACTTAAAATAAAAATAAAATTTTACCTGTTACATTTGTCACAATGTAATTGATCTATGCTGTCTTTTATTACATGACCATTATTATATACCTTCCAAAATATATCTTGAACAATTCTGAAATAAATAACTACCTGAATACAACATACTTCTTTTAAAAGCAAACTCCTTGAAATTACAAGTTTTTTAAGGAAATTTAATTGAGGAACTTTGATCCAATTTTTTTTTTCAGATTATTAATGTACTTTTTATGCTCATTTCATTGATATATAACAAAAGTTTCTCATGCAAAATTAATATTCTTGACCTAATCTTCATATTTGTAGTTGATTGTCAGCTTCTAGCTTTATAACTGTCCAAAAACTGCCAAATTTGCAATCTTGCAACCTGTATCACTTAGTGGGCAATTTGTTCATATTCTGAATGTGCTAATTGTGCTCTTTTCATTGATATAAAACAAAATTACAATTTCTCTAAAGGATTTTTCCAATATTTTTGCTTCTTGGAAATGGATGAATGCAAATCTCATGATCTTGTAAATATAGACGCTTGAAATTTGGAATGTAAAAAAAAAATTTGAATTTAAGTAGCTGTATTCCAAAAAAGTTTGGGTGGGGAGACAAATCTTGGTCAAATGCCTATCAACACTTCTTATTTACATTTTGGGGTTCGAATTTAGGGTGTATAGAATAAATTCGTTCAAAAAAGAACATTTATTATTTAGATGATATCTATCGATGATTTGGCTTCTAATTAAATCTTACTTGGTTTGTTCCGTGGTAGTTGTACGTCCAAAATGATCAAAAGATATATTGAACCAATCATAGATCTCTGTATGTAACTTGTTGTATTTATCACAAATTTCTTGTGGTGTCAGCCCTTCTTCTAACGCTTTATTCTCGGTTGCTGTACCATATTCATCAGTTCCGCACAAATACACAGAATTATAGTTCCGCAGTCGACAGTATCTGAAAAATAATATCAAATATTAAAAAAACCAATCAGGATAGATCTGAGCTCATAATTTTCAGCCTTTTTCTTTATCAACATTTATTAAAAAACTGTAAATTTTTTAGATGGAATAAATGAAAACATATCTTTTTCTCTTTGAGTGATGCAGAGAAATAAATTCAGCCAAATTCAAAATTTATCCTTCATTCATAGGCGGCCACTGCCCCCTTCAGTTTTATGAAAGGTCTTACTTTGAAAATCAGACTTTAAAATGCTCAAAATTCATGTCAGGTGATCTGAAATTCATTGGTGTCTAGGGGTCATTGGTGGCTCACAGACCCTTGGTCTAGAGCTCTTCAGGTCTTGCCTTGGAGAGACACCTTTCCTCCCCCTCAGGTATTTTCTAAATACAGCCCTATCTTCTTTGCTTAGATATAAGATTAAACTTCAGAAGTTTGGTAATACGAGATGATTATAAGTTTTTATGTTTTTCCTTAAATAAATACAGTATTGAAAGAAACAAGAAATGAAAGTTTACCTGGAGTAGACATCAGCACTTAATACACATCCAATAATATTACCTAGATGTGGTACATTATTCACATAAGGTAGAGCACTACATATCAATATATTTTTCTCCCCTTTTATTGGTAAACTACAAATATAACACAGCAACAGAATTTATGATTAATTTATTAACTAGTTCATACAAGCAGTATACATAGCACTGTAACTGCAGTGGATTCATCCATCATAAGCATTGATTTGGCTGCCAAGAAATTTATCATGACTCACTTTGCCATATCATTCGTTCAATATGTTCATTGTGTATAATACTTAATGTAACCAATTTAAATCACAATTATAGTTAAAATCTATCCAGCTACTGCTGATATAATAATAATAACTTTAATTACATTGGATGTTTTCTCTCTCTAAGTTCTGGTAATTTAGCTACACCATCTCGCCAGCATTTCTCAGCAGCATTAAGTTCTTCTTCTGTCAACTGTTTTTCAACCTGAAATAAGTAAGTTTAGTAATCAAAACAAATATTTTTAAGTTCTAAGTCAAGACTTGCTACCAGTAACAGAATATTCTGGCATCGTTCATAAAAATTGGAGCCTTAAAGGGACTGTAAATAGGTTTTCTCAATTTTTTATGTGTATTGGTTCAATCAGACGTCTGTGGTTCCTGCAATTCCACTAAAACTAGTGGTTGATATTACTAATTGCAGAGAGTCTCATGTGATAAAGTATATTTTGCTTTAAGTGACTTCATCAAACACTTAGTTTTAGTGGAATTGAAGGAACCACAGACGTTGGATTGAAAATTGGAATGGTGCAAATTGATGCAATTGGTGTCCCCGATGCACATAAAAATTTTAGAAAAACTCTACAATTCCTTTAAATCAGAGTGTCACACAAGATATCGTCAACTTTCTCATATACTTATCTTTGTCCCACCATCTTCACAATAATCACCATGATTTGTTGATATATTGGCATATAAAATGTTGAGCAGCATAGCTACCAATTTCTATACTATGTGTGAGTTCAATGTCAATGGTGTTTGAAATGAAGATAGGGTGATGGCAATATCATAATGTGGGCATATTCAAAGGGAAATATTATGCAAGACAAACATTGTTACTTTCACACATTTTCTTATAAGAGCTTTTCTTATGTGGCTTCTCAATAATAAGTACTTACTTCACTACTTTCTGTAGGTTGTGATGAAACACTACTTGATTTACTAGTAGATTTACTAGTTAGACTATCAGGGGATGGCATGGCTGGTTGACTTAATAAAGATTCCTGTAAAACAGTAATATAATAGATACAGAATGAGTGATTAAATAGATGTGCCATTTTGGGGGGTTGATTTGAGTCTAAAATATACTTCAGAAGTACTAGAAATGTACAAAAATCGCATAATTCCTTCAAAAATATCTCAAACTAAGAATTTCTTTTTCTTATTTCTATAGATGTCTTTTCGATATATTGCAATGTCTAAAAAAAAAGAAGACTCATCCTTTTAACATTCAAATGCAGATAATTCTGGACACATATGGATTTGAATGCTCAAATTTAGACAGTGGGCTGTGAACACTATTACTGATTCACTTATTTTATTGGATTATATTACCTTAAACACAACAGGTCCTTTATTTTGTGTAACTATAGAGATAGCCTCTTTAAAAGCATCTATTAATGACAATTTCTCTATCCAAGATGTTAATTCAGGAAAACCTGAAATGAAGTTGAAGAAGAAATTTTTTTTCAATAATAATTTATTTTTACCAAAAATGTAGTTGTTCATAGGACTGGGGCAAAAAAATACAGTAATTAAATTTCAAGTAGGCGAATCGATGAGTAAATTTCAAGTAGGCGAATCGATGAGTAAATTTCAAGTAGGCGAATAGAGTGAGTATATCACAAGTAGGCAAATTGATGAGCAAATTTCAAGTAGGCAAATAAAGTGAGTAAATTTTAAGTAGGTAAATTTATGAGCAAATTTCAAGTAGGCAAATAAAGTGAGAAAATTTCAAATAGGCGAATTGATGAGTAAATTTAAAGTAGGCGAATAGAGTGAGTAAATTACAAGTAGGCATTTTGATGAGCAAATTTCAAGTAGGCAAATAAAGTGAGTAAAATTTTAAGTAGGCGAATTGATGAGTAAATTTCAAGTAGGCGAATCAATGAGTAAATTTCAAGTAGGCGAATCAATGAGTAAATTTTAAGTAGGCGATTACAGTGAGTAAATTTCAAGTAGGCAAATACATGAAATGTAGAGGCATACACTGTTTCAATAAGGACATAAATTACAGCTGTCAAAAATATAAATATTCGTTAAGATACATGGCTTTACAAATGGAAAAAAATTCCACTGCAATAGGTGTTTCTAGCAAATTAATAGTAAAGCCAAATAAGTTTGAACACCTGATTCCAGTCTGCAACTAGGTGATAACATCCTTTTAAAGTGTAAACCTACCTTTTAGTATAGGTGTAGAAGTTAGTGGATAAACTGTACCAAATACACAAACATCAGCAGAAGTCAAACTATCCTAAAATACATATAATTACTCACATAGTAGGGGGGATATCCTAAGGAATTGAACAAAACATTCTGTGATAAAAGCACCAAATTTTGCACAATACTTCCTTACCATATGATTTTGCAAATAAAACCATGAGCCACCTTGACTTCACATTTTTTCAAGATGGTCGCTGCATTTTAAAAAATGGTGGCAAAAGCTAAACTAAGCAAAATCTCAATTCAACTGGAGATATGTCTGCAGAATGCAGTCCTCCATACAGTCAATTTGCTATTGACCTTATTCACGCCTCAGAAATGTGTGATGGTAAAATTCATTAAATCACTTAACCAATTTCAATTTTAATGATGTAAAATATGATTAGTTTTGAGTAAGTTGGGTAGGAGAAGAAGGCTTGAAAGACATCAAGGTGGCAATGTTAAGCAGTGACCCAACATTATCTTTGATTGTTTGCATTATTCTGGAATCAATATGGCCGACGCATGAATAAGGTCCATAGTTTCTGACCAAAGCGGCAAAATACGCTCTATTATAGCAAGCATGACCTTCCCATAAGATGACCTTGTTCTATAACATATACATTAACCAAATCTTCTTATCTGGTGTATCATTCTAGTTGAAAATTGTCTGTTAATATTAAAACTTACCCCTACTAAGTATGTTTTATTTTTGACGGAAGTATTGAGGTAGGTTAATAAGGGTTGTAATAGACTATCAGACTGTTTGTCTGTTTTATTATGTCCAATATGATTAACTAATACTGGAAATACATATGGCTACAATTAAATAAAAAGTAATAAAGATTAGCTCTTGGTGTGCTACTATTAAAAAATCTCAAGATATCTCAATTAATCATCGTCGTCTTATCATCAAATAGGCACTTTTCTTGTATCACAGACGTTTTTGATTTGATTGGATTGTACGCTAACGAATACAGCTATTCAGACTACTAGTTCTGGCCTGCATTGTAAACATATATATTTTGATGCAGAGGAGAAAATGGACTTCAATTATATTCTATAAAATATCAGGAAATGTGCCTAATGATGTCAATATATTAAGTTGAGTTTGTACTATTAAAAGTAATGCTATATCACTCTTTGTTGTTGTATAATAAAAGAAGTTAGACAACACCTTTTAACAGTGATTAAAGTATTTTATTCTACCAGCTTTCGTTGTTGCCGAGACGACTTCATCAGGTGAAATTACTTGAAAAATATTAACGACTTAATTATTGACATTGAAATATACTGTACCACCTTGATATTGTGAAGATGGATGTCTTGCAGAAAATTGCATTTGTGCACATATTTTAGAAATTTTAATGCCATACCTATATCTAAATAATTTGTTCTGAGATATGAGAAAGCTTACCAATAATTGACTACTCTCCCACTCTAACCATTCATCAATCTGTTTACTATCACTTTCTATACCAGTTGATGTTAACAGTAATCTTTATAATAAAAACAATAAATTACAGTGGAAAAACAGGAATCTTATCTAAATACCTTCTGGTCAAAGATAGGATGCCAGGCAATGTAACACACGCCAACGTAAATGAAAAAAAAAGTGTCCCTATTAACTAAAGTAAAATTTTTCCCACATCAAAGAACTTCATAACAATTGACAACTTCAAGATTTACTGAATTGATATCAATATTAATAACTGAAACACATATATTTATATACCATAGTGTATGAAATGCTACTACAACACTTTTAATGTAATGTCGAAAACAAAGAGTCTTCTTTCGAGGTGACATACCTGACTGCTGAGTTGACAGAAAATAAAAATTTCTCAGGTTTCACTTCTAGAACTGGTAACTTACTTTCTGTTAAATACGGAACTACTTTTTCTAAAAGAGAATATACAGTGGTGTTACTAAAGACATAAAATTAGAATGACATTTTAGAAATGCCTACTACCAGTATTCCAGTAACATGCCCATTCTTATTAAAAAAAAAGGGTGCAATATCCAATGGAGTTTATGTTTACAAACGAAACAAATTGGAAGACACACAAAAATGCGTTGATAACTCGCTTAAAAATTAAATTACGACACTTATTCACATGATAAAAATATGGTGGTGTCCAGAAAGAAGCTAAGATTGGCAGTTGTTTATATATCGTATAAGTTGGGCTTTGACTCCCATAACATTAATTCATTTCTATTTCTTTTCTGCACTATACATAGCATCACTTTTATTTTATTTGTCATGTGACGCTTCAGACGTGTGTGACTGGTTATAAGAAAGTTTGTGATAGACTTCACCAGAGTGGACACACACCGGTTGATGGCCATGAATATTCAGTTAAATAATATCAAATACACTTGAAGTTGGCGAATGGCTTTGACTGATGATCGTAGCACTGGAAACACTACACGAATTTCGCTGGTGATCGACTCGCCCGAACCATTCGCCGTGCAAATTTTTCCATTTTTTTTCCATTTTTTTTTAAAGGGTATGTGACATGAATGTTTTGTAAATATGGAATGGATTAAAACATAAGAGATTTTGGTAATTTTTCTTCAATCAGAAGATTTTCTCCTTAAAGGGAGATGCAAAATTTCCATGTTTGAACATGTTGTAAATTATCAAATATTGTGAATCACAAAAATCACAGTTAAAAAAAAAAAGCTTTAAACATCAATTGAGGGTTATTTCGGTATTCACCTAATGAATGAAATAGTCACTAAGGTTTAATGGAAACAGATATAAATTCTTATGCACACTTATAATACCTATTTGTGGTAACATGATATGTTCCTGGGCTTAGTCAAAATTATGAATAGGGGCCTTTTTAGCCTACCAAACATCTGAGCATAAAAAGTAAACTATATGAACCCCTTCATCATAATTATTGTTCATGAAATCCACATTGGCAAGGCAAAAAATGGCCACAGCAATTGTTTTAAATAAAATGAGCAAACAGTGTCACTGTGCTTCCACTTGCCAGCTGTCATTAGAAGATCACAAACACAGAGATTTCATCTTGAATAAAATGCTCAAAATTTAAATTAAAAAACATGGGAACAAATTAAAACTTATATGGCCTATCATTAATATCATTAGTCCTTCTGGGTTATTTTTTTAAGCCACAGGGGATCTATCAATAAAGTTCCAAGATCAAATCAAAGTCCCAAAGAAAGTCCAAAAGTAATGTTCAAGAAAATCTATTCATTCACTTCAATTCTTGAATATAAAATTTATCGTTTTTTAACTTGCTCCATCATATATTGAAAATATTTAACTACAAATAAAAACATTGAAGGAAAACATATAACATACCACCGTGCTTTACTTCTGTAACTTTCAAATCAGTACCAGAACCACTACCAGCTGTTTGTGCTTTAGCTGCAATCAATATTTTGACTGTTTGAAAATTTCCTCGGTCAGTTATTACCTTCATTTTGAACTACTACTAACAATTATAATCTCGTTAAACTATTTCATTAATTAATTATTACTTCCTTGACATTACATCAGCCGAAACCAATAAATTACACAAATAAGGATCTGTCATTCATAAGGTTGACCATGTTGTAAACACACGTGTGAAGGGAGATAACTCTGATTTACATTTCCTATTGATATCGGGTGTCTGTAAATCACCTTTTCCGACCACACATTTTTGACGAAGCACATTTAAGTTATAGACTACGTAGTCTTATTGTAAAAAATAACTTGAAAATATGCAAATCACTTAAAGGGACAGATGTGGAATTTTGGGGGGTTGATTTTAGTCTTGAAAATATGTAAATAGTCTTCACAAGTACTAGAAATATACGAAAATCGCATAATTCATTCAAAAATACTTCAAACTAGGAATTTTACTCACTATTTCTACATGTCTTTTCTTGTCACAGAGTTTTTAAGAATCAAACGCGGATAATTCTGGACACGTGTGGATTTCAAGGGTCAAATTTCGATGGTGAACTGTGAACACTATTACTGATTGGCTTAGCTAAATAAATTCCTGTTTCTGAGACTAAAGTATGATTAGTCAAAAAGAATGGCGCATCTGTCCCTTTAAAATTTCACGAATCATAACCTATTTGAGTCTTGAATATATGTATTTACTATGAAAATAGCATAATTCCTTCAAAATTATCTCAAACTAGGAATTTCTGTTGTTATTTCTATAGACGTCTTTTCTAAATCAGTGTTTCAAGAAAAGACGACTCATCTTTTTAACTTTCAAACGTGGATAATTCTGAACACATATCGATTTCAGGCTCGAATTTAGATGGTGAGCTGTGTATGTACACTATAACTGATTAGCTAAAACAAAAATCCCGTTTCTGAGACTTTAAAGGCACGATTGGTGCACAACCGTGCCTTTAATTTATCGTCAGTACATTGGTCGGGTTTGACTCTCTAAGTTAGAAGGAGTCTAAACCAAAATAACCTAATAAAAAACGAATCTGCTAGATCGATCTTAAATATTCCGAATGAATATATGGGCTAAATGGGCAGGAAAATCTAATTCAATTTCACTGAAAGCAAGATTTCCCTATACAAATTTAACAAGGCGTTGATTTTAAAAAGAACATCAGGAAAATCCCGCATAAACATAGTAAACGCTTAACCTTTGAAATTTACCCTTGAGTTGGCGTTTGAGGTACAAGAATCCTGTTAAGACTGAGAAGGTTTGTGTCAATAAACACAATCTGTTCAAGGTCTTCTTGAATGAGAGTAATGACATTTTGAGTGTCTTTATACCTAAAAGTAGGACATCCGGGGTGTTATAGACGGAGTTTGTGCTCTCTGGCCTCTAAAACCTTTGGAAATAGATCTCGTATTTTCCACTGACACTAAAATTAGTCTCAAAAGAATCTATACATCTATTATACACATAAATATGAGCGTCAAATGTGTTAATTTGCTCATTGATTTACTTGTTTAACTTGATGGGTGGATCAGTGAGTTAGACGCTTGCTCGCTAACCTGAAGGTCCAGGGTTCAATCCTGGCATAGGTCGAGATAATACCTTCGGATTTCACAACCCGTCTAGAAAAGCATCTAGGCGTTCGACTATAAACCGAGTCCCCGTTTGCTACAGGCTGTGCACATTAAAGATTGGAAATCGAGAAAGAGCAGGCTAATGCCGCTGTCCTGGCAAAATTTCCCTCATTGTAACCTGCATGGCGTCGTCTGTCTTCATTAGCCTACATGGTGCAGAAAAGTTGACGTAAAACTCAATTTACTTCATTTCATTTGATTAACTTGATTACATTAGTGTGAGTGCATTCCTACCATGATTAGGATGGAATTCTTTTGTACACACAGACAGTGTATGTGCACTTTGACCACACATACAGTATAAAAGGGACTATTTTTGGTAATAACATTTTCAGCATGATTAGTTTAGAGTCGTAACAGGCTTTCTTTGAGATTGAAAGGATATTTCAAAAGGCACAATCTTTTACTCTGATTGCAGGTTATCAAGTTAAAGTTGGGTTGACCTTTTACATATAAGGAAGAATTAATGCTCTATTGTCTTATATATTTTTTACGTAAGAAACAGGAGCAACATTTACATAAACTCATCTTTAAAGCAACACAGCTGACCTTTAAATTCAATGTATTTCCTTTCATCGTCATTATATGTACTTGAAGGAAATGCTTTTCGTAATACGAAACTTTATAATGCCTAGACGTTATTCGATATTTGGAAATCCTACACCTTCATCTGTATTTCCCAGGCTGTGCACATTAAATACCCCTCGACAGTTGGAAATCGAAAAAGAGCAGGCTAATACCACTGTCCTTGCAAAATTTCTCTTCTGCATGGCGTTGTCCGTCTTCATTATGCAGAAAAGTAGGACGTAACACTCCATTATTTCATTTCATCTGTATTTGATAAATTCTTCATTCACGTACCAGTCATGATGGTGCAGTGGCTCATCTACCATAAGGACTAAAACTAACGCGTTCTATGCTTTCACCAGAGGGGAGTTACCTGAAGCTACTATTAATATATATGCAGCCCCCTAGTGATGTCATAAAATTAATGTTAATGTTAAAGTTAATGTTAGTGAAATTGCAAGAACCACAGACGTTGGAATGGTTCAAATTGATGCTATCAGTGTCCCTGACAACCTCTTTACAGCCCCTTTAAGTCCACAGGCCCCAAGTCATCTATAGTTGAACCACTACGTGAGCAGTTCGTAAACATATATAATAGATAGTAATAGAATGGGATAAAGTGATGAATGAGGACCAATACCTCCACACCTACTCAATAAATCTCTAGAGCACTGACTATGCACGGATCCTCTTCTTTTTGTAACATTTTCTTGCATACATTTCAAGATATTTCTTATTAAATCTGAGTCAGATTCACATGCATTGAATTACTGCTTAGAGAAAAAAATAAATATGTTTTTCGTTAAAATTGTGAATATACAGGAAACCACTCCTTTAAATTTTGGATCAAGGTAAACCGGTATTTAAAGTATCTTAATGTCGAATGTGTATCTATTAACTCCATTCAAACCATGACGATATATTTCCACTTACTAAGTCATCTAGTGGTGTTACAGTGTGTTATAGCATACAGCTATGGTGGATGTGGTTATGACACTGGATATCCAGTAGATCAAGGTGAGTTTGGATATTGTTAAAATAGATTTCAGTGTGACAGATCAACGTAATATACGAAACCAATACCAGTTCATATATTGATATTTAAATCAATAATACTTTTCAATAATGACCAAGCCTACCGATACTTTCGAAATATGCATTTTTTTCTCAATTATAAGCACCAGTTAGGCCTACTTCCCTTTAAATATGCAATTTTTTCAATATTTTAGGTGTGTCAACTCGCATTTCAAATGGTTTTGTTCTTTTAGTTTGCCTTAACGCCGTACGCCTTTTGAGTAATGATTATTTCTATTAATGGCTAAAGGTGCGAATAGACGACGTGCGGTTTGCGATGTGGTGAACCGTGCGGGATTATCGATAAAATAGTAGACGCGAATCGTGTTCGCATCGTGTCCGGACCCGAACGTTGTGTGATCACTTGTTCTATTTTCTACTGTATGGATGATCCTGAGTTATTATCAATAGATATCACTATAACAAATTTTATTGAAATCAAATAAAAAATTTAGTATCTGTTTTGTTCAGAATCCACTCTTGACATATTTTTTAGCAATCCACAGCCAAGTCAATAGATCGAAAACTCATCAGAGATCTTTTCATTACATATTCTATGGATAAATTCAGATGATCTACTCCCGAGTTATTGCCTTAACCAACAACGTCGAAATTGGCTTGTGATAGAAAGTTTATCTGATTTTTTCTCATAAAACTTTATATTTTGTGTATATTGATGCGATCTTAAATTGGATGGATTTGATACATTTGATTTTTGGATGAAAGGCAAATGGTTGTTGGGTACATTGGAAATGAATTAAATTTTCAAATTTTTTTATGGATATTACCAAATTGTCCATTTCTAATGTTAATTGGTAACTTTAAATTGGTGCTTTTTGCCTATACTACACTTGCATGGCTATCTTTCAAATTAAGATGTGGAAATAGTACCTCATGTATTCGCTTGTATTTGCCACTGCTGTATTATAATGTATTATCGCATTATTTTTGCAGGTATTCAGTTACGACTGAACGGCGGTGAATCACCCAATGTAGGCTATGTGGAAGTCTTTCAAAATGGGGAATGGGGCGCTCTTTGTGACTCTGGAATAAGTCCAGACAGTTCATCTACAGTTTGTCAACACCTTGGTTATAAGGATGGTGAAATATGGACAAAGGGTTTTGGCCCTTATGAAGGAACTTATGTTCATAAGACAGATGATACCTGCCTGACTACTGAAAGTAACCTAAATAACTGTGGATCAGTTGAATTTAGACGAGAGATTTACAATGGAAAATACACCTGTCTTCCGTTTCAACCACAGGTTGTCTATTGTTATGATACCGGTAGGTATGGTTACATTAAAAGGAATCAAAAATAAATTACCATCGGAGGTTTCTCTGGGTTGGAAGCTGATTTGGAAAATAACTCTCGATGTGATGTGTTCAGTGGCTCAACTAGATGAGCTTAAGTGGTTTGGGGCCCCTCCCCTCGGGATTCATTTTAACATTTTATGCTCTCTTGCATTTTTTCAGGAGGTGGGACCCTCTCAGGAGTTGGGACCCGTGGAACCAGTCCCTATGGTAGTTCAGTCACTGGATGTGTTCTGGAAGTTATTTAACATTACTTGAGCTTACAGCCTGCATATCAGCAGTCACCAACAAGTCTTTTGGTATATAGTACAGATGCCAACATAACAACATATTAGCTCTGAAAAAGAATGGACCTTTATTGTATGGTGCATCGACGGCATATTATTCTGTTGTAGTTACAGCAATCATTGAGCGGTCTATAATGATGCAATTTGGAGATGTTGGAACATCCTTAACATTTGGATATCGAAAAAGAGTTGGTTTTTGACGTACAAAACCTTTCTTATTGCCCGTCATCATTAGCCAAATACAAAAGCGGAATGTAAAGCGCCATTTTGTTCTTTGGAATTTTGCTTATTTGTTCACTATATTTCAGTTCGACTTCACAGACCATACAATTCAACAATTGGTAACGTTTTAGTTTATGTCGATGGTCAACACAGGACGATTTGTTCAGAAGGTTTTGATATTGATTCAGCTAATGTGGTCTGTAGAGAACTCGGGTTTTATCTGGGTGGTAAAGTTCTACCATCTACTACGTACAAAACTGATGATGATTTAGACCATGGTCAATATAGTTATTATTGTCAAGGAACTGAAAGCAGTCTGACAGAATGTGAAAGAGTTCCTCAGTATTGTGCTAAAGATGATATTGCTGTAGTGTATTGTAATCAAGGAGATGAAGAAGGTATGATGTTGATTTTGCACAACAACAAACCATTAGATTACAAAGAGACACACACCAACCCACATGATTTAGATTAGACCAAACATTCGTTTTTTATTAGCCAATCAGAACGGTGGAGAGTGGATAAATTTGATTGGTTAAATCAGAGGACATCAGGTTAGGTCAAATGGTCATTGAGATGAATGTTTAAGACCGCCGTCGTTAGACCCTAACTGTAGTCGCTACATTAAAAATAAAAGCAAATAAAAAACGGAACGAAAATTTGAAGGAATATCATCCTCTCACTTACATCATGTACTTCATTAGCTACGAAGTACGACCGTTCGTAAATAATACATTATTTCTTTGAAATCCGTGCTGCAAATCTATTGTCCTGTGATAAGTGATGAGTAATTGATACAATACACGGTTACTTTTTTTAGCAGATGGCGTAGAAGAAGAAGTGAGAATCACTGGTTCTGGTGAAGTTCAAGTGTTCTTGAACGGTATTTGGGGAAACATCTGTACCGACACGTGGGACAACAGAGATGCTGCCGTAGCTTGTAGAGAATCTGGGTATACCAATGGCCGAGCTTATGATAATTATTTAGATAATGAACTGCCGGTTTGGATTTCTGAAACCTACTGTACCGGTTCTGAACCAAGCATCAAAACCTGTCAAAAGAATTTGTATGTAGGGGAATCATCATGTTCCCAACCTTATTCCAAAAGGGCTATGGCTTCATGCTTTAACGAACCAGGTAAGTCGTCAATTTATGATTAGTAAGTCATGATGACTTCACTTTCTATTATTCAAGATTACTTATCGATTGAATGGGTCTAACAAGGTCTTGAAGCTTATCAGCCGTTCTTATTGTTGACCAATGCCTTATGTGTAGACTAGTTAAAATCGTTCCGTTTCCGCCATTTTACTCGTTCCATTACATTTCATTTGGTCGCCGATTATCCAGAATTCATGATTTTTCTCGCGGAAAAACCTGCTAGGTCGATCTTCGTCCCTATTCATTTATATAGAAAAGTGTTAACATGATTATTCGAGCTGTTTTCACGTCAAATAACAGTTTATAGGGGTAAGAATTTAAATAAAAAAAATCACGAAATTCAAACCGTGAGATCAAAATGACTGCTTCTGAACTGACACTCTCAGTAAAAACTTGACAATCGTGACTACGAAGTAAGGGCCAAGATATCCCAGTTTGCTGCTTTCAAGTGAGTTATATTATTTTGTTTTCAGCAATAGAATTTTCAATAGTTGGTGGTGGAAACAGTGGTTATATACAAATGAGGAAAGACGGTAAAGAGGGGTATGTTTGTGACCGTTACTTTCAATACCCAGCGGAAGCTGTAGCTGTTTGTAAGGGTTTGGGTTATACTACTGGAGAGCTCATAGCGCTATCAACACTACCTGGGGATGTGAATTTCTGGATTACAGATATATATTGCTCGCCTCCTGATTTACCAAGACTTCAAGACTGTAATTCTGGAGATGATTCCTGGTCCTATTTGAATCCTGGTGATGATCAGTATGAAAGTTGTAGAACCAATGAAAAGGCTTTATCTGTTTCTTGTAGTTAAAATAAATTCTATCATTCCCTTTTTTTGTTTTTATAGACCACGCTGATTTGAGTTCGATTTAGATGTACAAGAATTGTATGTTTTTCTATTCAATAGGGTTCACCAAGCTTCGTCCAAATTTTACCATATTGTGCCTTCCAGAGTTAGCCAGCTATAAATTGAAAGCGTTTCGAAGGGAAAGGGAAATTATTCTTATGAAATATTATTTAATTTTTTTCCGATAGTGTTCATTCTTGGCTGATCATAAATGATTTCACCAAATTTCGTTTAAATCCGTCCAAAATGCGATTCCTGTAGTGTTTACATGCCAATTGTGAACGAACGAACGGACGGATGGAACATGGGTAACGACAATATACGCTCCACATCGAACGTGGGCGTATAAAAATCGAAAAGCAAGCAATCGACTGGATCTTGAAATGCACTGTCCTTGGTCTAAATGGATTTTTTTTTTCATTTTAGATTAAATAAAAATGAATAAATAAACATGAGCTGGGTGGACTCTTCAAAAATGATGCAAAGTTAAACAAAAAAAATCCGTTCTCATGAGGTGATTTAAAAGGACCAGCAGACTAACTCCCCCCCCCCCCCGCCCATTCCCTCCCCCCCCGCCCATTCCCTCCCCCCATCCCCCAACAACCCTCCCTCCCCCAAACACCATACTACTACGATGGATCTCAAATTAAAAAATATTAGACATGTGCTCGTGGGTTCATCGTCCATTATAGGCAATAATTCTTATACAGAAACGATATATTTCATAAAAAAAGACACGCAAAATTAAAGAAGTTTGTTATCTAATATTTATTTATAAGAATGGAAATATTAAAAAAAAAAACAAAAAATATTGATGCATTATTTATCACCGGATGAAAGTAAACCGTCAGTAGTTTGGTAACAGAAGTTAAACCAATTCTATATAATCACAGCTTAACACCAATGCAGCAATTTCTTATTGGTTAAAATCAGTGACGTCATAACATTTGCAAAAATAGTTGCGTATTTGGTGACGTCACACATTTCGCATTTATTACAAACTGATGAAATGTTATTGTAGGTTAAGGAATGAATAGAGAATTGAGATTAGCGTTCATTTCTGATACATCTTTAACCTCTACACCTGCCTCTGTAGTAAGTTTTACAAGTGCATTTTCCATCGAAGAAATTGTGTGAGAAGTTTCTTATCTGCCACGAACCAGACCTGTAGCAAATGGCCCAAACTTTTTTGTAAACGTATGGTTTGGGGTCTCGGACACAACGATGTCTGAAGGTGGTATTCGTTGGAGAACAATTGAGTCGGCATGTTGGACACCTGAAAATACAAATATAATTATCACAAAAAATCACTAAAAATTGTGTTTTCTTATCTTAATATGATTATGTAGCGTCGGTATAAATTCCCAACTACCAAACAGCTCAACCGGAAGTTGGTGGAAATAGCTTAAGCTAATGTTATGAATTTCCATGTATTGATGCGACTTGAAGATTCAATTTAAAGGTATATCAAAATCAAGAACATTTATGACAGGGAATTAAGTTGTAGATCTTTGCCTTATTCGTTCCATTTTTAATTAAGTCATTGTATTACGAACAAAAATTGTGACCATTTCTTTATTGGACATTTATTTCTTTTTTATCGAACTTTCCTAAATATGCATAATAAACTTATTTTCTTATCAAATATATGACGGAATTACATTTTAAAAAAAAAAGAGATATACTTACAAGCAACGGGATTCATAAATATTTTGCCAATGTGGAAACAATACATAACAGAAACCGTAAGAGCGGGAAGACAAGGTATAAACTTTCACTTTTTTACTAGGACATAGTTCTTGTGGTCCCCAGTAAAACGGTCTGTATTTTGGACAAACCCTGAAATATGGAATTGAATTATCATTTTAATATAAATATACAAATATTTTAGAAGTGTTTAAATTACACATAATTAAATACTTGTCAAGCCTCATTAGGAAAGGGAATTATCACACGCTCAGTATGATTGAAGGACAGTTCGCTATCCGTTTGACCAATAATACCTTTGTCTCGAAATTTGAGCCTTCAAATCCAAGTGTGTCCAGAATTATGCGCGTTTGAAAGTTAAAAAGACGACTCGTCTTTTCTTGAAAATACACATATATAGTGAAATTCTTGGTGTTATGTATTTTTGAAGAAATTATGCGATTTTCATACGTTTATTAGCATTTCTGAAGGCGATCCACAAATTAAATCACACCCGAAAATGGCAAACCTATCTTTTTAAAATATGGTCATTATCATTGTTTCAATCGTGTATTAGAAACAAGTCTGTTAATTTATCCAAAAAACAAAATCAAATTTAGAGACATATAGAAAATTATTATAGTTTATTTCAAATCTAGGCTTCAGAAATAAAGGTGATTAAATCATACTTACAATGGCTTTGGTCTAGAAATGATTGGACCAAGTGATAAAATGGGAGCAAGCTTAGCTCCACTCACAAGCGCTTTTGACTGTTGAGGCCTACAAACAACATAATATAATTAGTTAATAATAATGAAAATATTAAGCTACTTTCGCTGCTATGGCGATATTTCTCTTTTGTGCATTTTCATATTGCACATGACAACTTTCGTATCATTATGTTAAAATCGACATGATCAGTATCTTGAGTCAGCAAGTAGCAATGTTGGTATTTACCCCATCACGATATAAAATCGCATTTGTACTTACATAGAACTAAGAACTTTTGATTTATCGCTAGATTTGTCCAAAAGAGCTTTCGCTACATCTTCAGTTAAAGGTATCTCCTTATCGACCTCATCAACCTGTAAAGCTTCCCTACATAACGGGACTTTAGCATCCACCATGCAAGTGGCTGCAAATACAACCAAGACCTGAAATGATAAGAAATGTTCTTGTTTTTGTCATTTGCATGCGGGCACCATCTCGCATGACTCGGATTTGGTTAAAGGGTCACTTCCTGTTTTCAAGGATCAAAGTGAAAGTATTTGTCAAACGATGATCACTATGCGTAAAGTACTATCGAGACCCATGTTGGGAATCATCATGGTCCCGGATATTATGCATAATACCCACATAGACAATGATAATAACGATAAGATAAAAGACTGTCAAACAAACGTTTTATTTCCACCCTAAAATATATATGGATGAGCAATCTTTTTTGGGGGGTTTTATTTTGCTCAAACTATACACCAAATTCTAGTGAAATGTGACCCTTGACTTATTAACTAAAAATAACTAGCCGTTATAATATTTAACGCCAAAATTATTTAAAAGTTTTACGTAAACTTTCTAGTTCGTTATGCTTTTTTTGGAGGTATTATAAAACTTCTATGCAGATTTAAGCAAAAATAAACCCTAATTCTAGAAAAACAAGTCTAAAAACAAGTCTATATGAGGCCCAAGATCAAAATCGTTTAAACTGTTTATTTAATTAAACAAATTCAGTTTGATCAAGTAGGTACATAAATAGCATATTTAAGAAATATTATTTAGGTCTAATTTACGACGTTTTTGATAATAAACATGTTACCTACTACCTCCTAGGATGACTAAAAAATTGAAATGATTAACTTGGCCAATATGAGTCTTTGTTCATCAGTGGACTTACCTGGTGTCATAACTATACAACAGAATCCCTCTATAATCCAATAAATTTATTAAACTTAGTAATTTTGAAAAATACTTAGAAGTGTTTTTTAATATATTTTTTTTGTTCAATGGATATATCGTGTAATATAGAGATTACATTCTTTAGTCATGGCACCTGGTAAGTCTAACTGATGAATATAATATACAGAAAGTTTGAGACTATAAATGTTTTGCCATTCTAAGAGGTAGTGTTCCTTTAAACAATAAAATAACTTACCAACAAATATCGTAACATCTTCTTTGCTTCTTTTCAAGATTTTCTTCACGAATAATCTTTTTGATTGATTTGATAGTGGATACACTGTCATATTTATACATATTGGAAAGGATGTAAATGCATTCATCCGTGGCCCTTACTTTTCTTGCCCGATATATATTTCCTTATTAAGATCCGGTTCCCTTGCCTTCTTAGACACCAGGATGTTTTTTTCCTAATTTCTTATTGGTTAGCCGCTTTTTGATGATTACGATGCGTTTACACGGTTGAATAGTGTTTATTACATAGCCGTGGGATACAAATACACCCTTTCAGTTAACAAAATTAAACTCGAGAGTAGCAAACCATAAATCCGTGTTGATTTTTTTAATTATCGCTATTATTAGTTATCAGTGACTGATTTTCATGATCTAGTAAGAAAAGAAACTGTGCTCTTTTGTCAGCTAGTCAATATGGAGATGAACAAAAAAACTTCAAGTAGGTTCTCTGACCAGAGGTAAACAAAATTATCGCTGTTGAAAACACTTTTATTTCGATTTCTAAATGAAGTATTTGTTCCAACCTAGGCCTGTACATTTGAGACAATCAACCAAATTCTGATTCACTATTATCAAGGCGTGTTGAAGCAGAGAGAATGCAAAAGTCTATAGCTGGTGAAGGATATTAGTATTCCTTCAGCGTTGGTGCTTTACAAGTAAAGATTGGGATAGACCATGTCCGGTGTGGTGTAATTTTTTAACGCCAACATTATTTAAAAGGTTTACGTAAACTTTCTTGTTCCTTATGCTTTTGATCAGATTTAAGCAAAGACTAAACGCTTAATTCTAGAGAAACAAGTCTAAAAATATCCTAATGAGGCCCTGCATCAAAAGTAAAGTAAAGCAGGGAATAGACGATGTCCGGTGCGGTATACGGTGCGGGATTATCGATACAGTTGAAAATAGTAGAAACGAATAGTGTCCGCACCCATGCCTCGCGAGTTCACTTGTTCTATTTTCTACTGTATCGGACACCGTACATCGTCGATTCCCACCTTCTGCCAGTCTGAAGGGGTGAGAGGAGCAAACATTGCTACTATGCTGTTGGTGGTAAAAATATTCAATATTGGCACCCGCAACAGGAACTTTAAACATTGATTTTATACAGTTCTGGGGTTGAACAGAGAAATCCATTTATAAATTAAAAGAGGGGCTATCTGCTGGGTTGTTTTCTTCTATATATAGGTGTTTATATTTCATTTGATCAACCATAAAAATAAAATTAACAATCCGCCCAAGCGAGATGTTTGTTAGTTTCTTCAGTTTGCTAAGAACAAGGTTGTCATCTAACTTCTAATATTTCAAATATCAATGCCTCGATAGTGATTTTCATAAAATTGCTAAGAGTACCGTACCCACGCTCAGATAAAAATCTATCATTTTACTATTCTAAAAAGCACCGTAAGACATTTTGAACTAAGAGGAAGGCTGATACAAATATAAAAAATATCCTGAGGATAATTTAATCCAGTAATTATGCGTACTAGATTTATGCAAATTAGTTTTGGTTTGTTTCCGCGTCTAGACTCGTTTTCGATTATTTAAGACCGAGGGGTTACTCTGAACGATTGCTTTTGTGCCTTATTAATTTAAATTCTTTCACGCTTATTTGACGATTGAGACTTTATTTTTTTAGATTCAAATTAAGCAATATATTTGATTAATTGGTGTTTCTTATGAATTATCACGTATTCTTAATCAACTCATTATGTTCTTATCGTATATACTTAAGAGTTTTAACCATTTATAAATGTCCATGAATATACAGTCTGGATAAACAAAAAAAAAATACTTTTTGAGATTTCTTGATCGGTCACTCACTGGAATTCTGCTGGTAATTCTCTTCTAATTTAGCTAATTATGAATTCATTATGGACATGTGAGACAAACTGGTATTTGTCCAAGTCATTAGAACACCTCTACTTTCTATTCATATAAATATTAGCCATTTCATTTTCATAAATGAAAATAAGGGAACCCATCTTTAACATAAGGGCATGTAGAAATGTAAAGTAACCAAACCCACTTATTGTTTTCACTTATATTTTAAACTACACCCCGATTGATATATTACAGATATTATGACGTCACTGACGCTACTAGTTCCGGACTATTATAGGGGTGGGGTTATTAAATTAAAGCTTTTACAAAGCTCAACGTGATATTTATGTTTATGCGTGAATGATTTACATAACCATGAACATGTGTTTTAGAGAGAAAAAGAAAACGTAAGGTGATGTCATTATCCTTGCCAGTGACCATTACAGAAACTTGGATTGGAGGAGTCATCCTAAAATAAATTAGAATCCACTTAGAAAGGGCTTAGATCCTGTATTTTATACAAATTGAAAAACTATTCTTTCAAAATAGTACATGTTTACAATGAAATAAGGCGTATTCTAAGAATAAGATAACGAATATGAGGAAGTATATCAATCATCGATGAAGAATTATTTCATTATAAAAAATAGTATCAAGTGGCTAGAAGAGTAAACATACCTGCCACAAACGCAACGGTTTTATTTTCCTGTGGTATATTTTCTTTTCTCAACATAACATCCCGGACTCTCCAGAGTACAGCTACTAGGCTTCTGTATATACAAAGACTTTGAGAACGGGGCATACATATTCTAACAGTTTCGTTACAAATTAAACGGATACATCCGAAAATTATGGACGTCGTCATTATGCACTAACCTAATCGAAATATATGCCTACGAATTTCCACTAGCCTATATCTAAAGTCATGACAATCACACCGATTGAATGATTTTCCTGTAGTAATTATAGATCTCATTGGCAATCACGTGAGCCCTGAACTTTCGCTTGCGCACGCATACATTACATGGTGTAGACGGATAATGAAGGTATGACTGAACTACAAAATTATTCATCTTCCACATATGTCGGGGGTTTGGCGAACCTGAGGTCAATGAAGAGGTTTAAAAATCTTCTGTCCAAGTTATTATAATTTTAATAATCAATTCTCTAATTGGCTAAAGATTAGGCATAAAGGACTTTTTTGTACAATTGAGCCTGAACATTAGCTGAGCAATTATAACATAATAATATATACAATCAATCATCCACTATATAAATACATTTTGTAGATTTCGTATAAGGTGTTCCACAAAAAATAAAAAAAATAAAACCCAAAAAAAAACAACAACAAAAAAACCCAAAATATTTTTTATTTAGAAGCATTGGCCCAGTCAGGAGAAAGATGTGAACTTGAAACAAATGAAAATCAAAATGTGGATAAGCCTTGCATAAAGATCTACAAGATTGGTTGAAAGGCAATTTCATCACGAACAACTATTTTAATTTAAGTTAAAATGCAGCTTCTTGATTCAAACCTACATAAAAAAACTAGAGCTGTGAACAACACTGAGCGTGGCCCGTGATAATTTGCCTGAGAGCTGTAAGACTTTTTTGAACTTCAAACCCTCTCAAGCCCGGTGTTGACTCGACCACTTTTAGTAAAGAGCCAAGCTAAATGAAATGTTTTGTGAAAGGGTAAATTCAATCTTGTATCAATATAACTTATCGTATGGTTATTTTAATAGCTTCATGGTAGCTATAATATACAGGTATGTGTGAAATGTGAACATTATGTGACGGAATTTCTTTACTGATATAAACATGATCTATAAGTGTCTCACCTTCAGTAGTGTAATGCTGAACAAGTTGAAAACAATTTAGTATAGACAAATGACCCTCCAAGATATTTTGGTTGAAATCCCCCATAATAACATAGTCTGAACCAGATTCTTGTAATTCAACTAATAATCTTTCTAACATTGGGAGAAATAAATCTAATCGATAAACGGGTGTTCTATAGATAACAATTACGTTAATATTTTTATCCAAAATATTCAAAGCAATGTGTTCTATATTTAAAACTCCCAATTTTAAAATGTTGACATTTTTGTTTTGCTTATATACTCCTACTCCTCCGTGCCCCTTTTCTTTCAAAAATTTGAAATCTCTAGTGTCATCATAGCTGGTGCTTCGAGGATGGTGGTGAAGACGGAAACCATTTAACTTTAGTTTTGCTGGAGTTATTGAATTATTTAGCCATGTTTCTGTTAACAGCTCAGTTGCTTCAGCTTTATAGTTAGAAAAAAGGAACGGGTTTTAGAATTTCCATATTTTCAATTTTCGATTTTGACCTTTGATGACTTTTGTTGACCTATATCTTTTGACCTGTATGATGTAGAAGATTTAAATTTGGAACACAACATAACATTTTGAATATCAATTTACCTGTGTCAAATAAATTAGGTGGGCGTGGCACTTCCGGGTTAAATTACTCATTATTGACATTTTTGACCAGAGGCATAACTCGCTAAGAATACATTTGTTCAAAATGGAACTTTGCATACAATTACGCTGTCTTAAAAGTTCAGTTGTTTCAGCTTCATAGTTCTAAAAAAGGAACAGGTTTCGGAAATCAAAATTTCCAATTTTTGACCTTGACCTTTGTTGACCTAGACCTTTTTAGGATCAAACGTCTTTGGCATTGGCTATATATTTATACTTTTATATTTGCTGTCCTATGTCCACTTCCGGTTTTATAGCCGTATGCGTTTGAAATTTTGATGACATCTCGTGATCTTGACCTTTTTAAACCTTCTCCTTTACAAGATCAAAGGTCATTGACATTGGCTATCTGCTGATACTTTCAGTTGTGAGGTCTGACGTCTACTTCCGGTATTAAAATCTTCTAAAAAATGAAAATTTCTCAACTTTAGACTGTTCTTGCACTTGACCTAATTATCGTCGACGGTTGATTTTTTCATGGTCTTTAGCAAATTGCTACGTTTGCAAAGTCCCACTCTGTGTCACGTGTGGCTCTAGTATGTTGTTTTAATCGTATATTATTAGTAGGTTATGTTATGATAATTTGAACTGATACAGTTATTGAGGAGTTATATTGATATTATGTTATTGAAATATTATTATTGTGTTTTATTATGGCAAATTGTATTATTAAAAGTTATATATTATACTTATTAACGTGTTTTATATGGGGGTTGTGTTATCTAGATGTTATATTATTTGGGGGTTAACATCAAGGTAATGAAAATAATATGGTGGGGAGAGTATTTACATAATTTACCTTCATTTTTAAGGAGTTCTTATTAAGAGAAATTTTATTCCAACTGGTGTTTTTCTTGTCTTAAAACTTTAATCTTCCCTTTCGAAAAACGACAATAACGACTCACGTACACATTTTATCCTATTCCATGGCTTAGGTACGGTTCTTGCCGCCTGGTAAATCTAGACCCCAGTGACCCACATTCGATGATAAATTGGTCCATCAGCATTAAGGCTAAAGAATCATGCACCAATAAAATATTATATTGGTTTGAAGACTAGTTGACTCACTTTGTTGATGAGTTAACTGTAGACGAGTTGACATGAAGACGAGTTGACTAAACCTTCCGGTTTCCGAACTGGGTTCTCCCTTGTCAGTAATGTAGGGGCTAACAAGGTAAAAGCCTCTAGTCCCCTGGTTTCCAACATGGGGATGGTCCACGCTGCAATGGTTTCCAAAATGGCGATGGTTAACGCGGCAAAGTGTACCTGATAGGCCTAACTAACCATTTTAATAATAGTGCTTAATGATATAGCATATTAATCAGGTTTTACGTCCTCCTTTTTACCTCCACAGATTGAGACAATGGCGTGAGATATATAACAGATGTGGGGAAGTTAAGGAAGGATATTAGTCCACATCTACATCCGAATAAATCGACTACAAGAGTAGAATAAATCGACCACAAGAGTAGAATAAATCGACTACAAGAGTAGCCCGAATGAAAACAAAAGTTGCATGCAGACAGTTTAATAAATATGATATACTGTTCAACAGTATTCTTCTATACAGACTCATTTTCCACCTATCCTGATCCAATGGTCCAGATCCAACTTTGGAAGTGTTTGAAAGTCTGAACAATCAACTTCAGGGTTATCACTGTAATCGAAAACAGACATGTAAACAATGTAACAGGTGTTGAACTCTCGTGAATGCAGCTACACCTATACCCCCTTCAAACGAAGTGCAGGCACGAGAACAAGAACTACTTGTCAATCTTAAATATGGGTACAGGTTGAAATGTATTGGATCAGTTGTTAAAGAATGGAACAATGAGTTCTGTTTCATCTTTCGGGTTCTGTTTTGATATTTCTGTATCATTCCACAAGTGATGAATTTGAGTACTATTTTAACAGCAAACTTTTAATGGTTTAAATTCACAAAAAAAAATCAGATAACTTACCCCTCTCCTGTATGTAGCCCCTCTCCTATATGTAGAAACGCATTGAGTGGAACTTTTGTGATGTTGGTGGTAGCACAAATAACTCGAGAAAACTTTAGATGACGGATTTCACTCACCTGCCCTAAAAATATATATAACAAAATTAATTATATCTGAAATTAGGTCGACTCTTAGATTTGAACTCACGGAACAGTTATGCCAAACATGTTTCTACTTTCGGGAATACGTGAAACCGCACAATTTTACCAGGGACTTTTTTGCGGATAAAGCAGGGTTTACAGGAACATTGCAGCAAGAAACCGTTTGCAGTCGTTGGCATGTTTAGGCGGTTTTCAACATCTGCCTTTTTTCCATTCTCTGGTAGCTATCTTGAAAGATGTCGGCTGGTGTAGACAGAAAAACTAGGACCTATTTTTGGGGTATATGGGTATATTTTGTGGGGATTATCCGCATCTCCGGATGTATGGGGTTTTTAAAAACTTATTTTTAGATATTTCAGATCTGCAAAACCCAGATAAATATGGAAAGATGAATATTTTGTGGTTCAACGATACTACCACCACTTATGTCCAGTCGGATCTCGCTTCGACTTTTTAAAAAGTTTAAAGGTCGTAAACCTCGTTTCTGAGATGTGGAAAAAAGGCATATTTTTCTGACTGTACTCCAGACGACAACTGTCGAAATATCCATCAAAGGCTGGGATAGAGGCAGATGTTTCGGATGAGTCGATTTCCTGAAATTTAGGATTGAATATATGAAGGACGTACATCTATCTAATCCAGATAAACCGTAATTGTAATAGTTGACAGGATGTTCGTTTTCAAACCAGAATCGATCTCTGAATTTCAGATCATTGAATTGCAGGCCGAAAATACAAGCAAATGTTGGTCCAACAATACCATGCTCTACTGGAGGCTCTGAAAGTCCACCGACATACAGGTCAACATCGTCTATATGCCTGTAATATTAACGACATCAATTATTACATCTT